GAAAATCACTCCTGAAAGCTTCAAAACCGACTAAAAATGCTGAAGAATGGACCAAAACTCGTGAAGTGTGCAATTTATACTTTCTACCCAAAGATACCGCATCTGCGGTCCAACAGTCTCTTATGCAATGCTGCACCTGATCCATCGTAGGTGCGGATCCCTCTTAGTCCCTCAAAACCCGCTTCTGCGGTACATTTATCGCACTTGCGGGTGCGCACCTGTAGGCCTTTCCCGCTTCTGCGATCATCCATCCATGTGTCTTTCTGCATCTGCGCTCCAATACCGCATTTACGATCTCGCAGGTGCTCTCCAAATCTCGCACCTGTGCTTTCAGCCAACCTCAGCCTTGGCCGTATCTGCGGCTCTTTCTCCATTTTTGCAGGCTCGCACCTGCGGTTCCCACTCCGCAGGTGTGGTTATGATAGCTGAGTTCAACTTCAGTATTCCTCAAATTCCAAACTTGTTCCGTCAATCACCCAAAATCGTCCCGAGCCCCTCGCGACCTCAACCAGACATACCAACAAGTCATTTGTCAACATACGAACTTAGTCGAACCTTCGGAACACTCAAAACAACATCAAAATACCAATTTACCCCCGTATTCAAGCCTAAGAACTTCTAAATTTCCAAATTCCGCAAATGACGCCGAATCCTATCAAATAAATGACCTGAAATTTTGCACACACGTAAAAAATGACTCCACGAACCTACTCCAACTTCCGAAATTCTATTTTGACCCCGATATCAAATTTTCCACTGCCGACCAAAATCGCCAAATTTTCAACTTTCGCCAATTCAAGCCAAAATCTACCACGGACCTCGAAATCATATTCCGGGCGTGCTTCTAAGTCCAAAATCACTTAATGGAGCTAACAGAACCATCAAAATTCACATCCGAGATCGTTTACACATAAATCAACATTCAGTCAACTTTCCAAACTTAAGCCTTTACAAAAGAGACTAAGTATCTCAAATTCTGAAACCACTCCAGACCCGAACCAACTGAGCCAACATATCATAATATAGCTAAAGAACACAAAAAGAAGTAGAAATGGGGAAACGGGGCTATAACTCTCGAAACGACCAGCCGGGTCGTTACAGTGAATAAGAAACCTAAGAGCCTGATTAGAAACATTTCCACATATAAAGCCGTGTAGACACTCGTCACCTCAAGTACAGATTTTTCACGTAGTTCAAATAGCACAAAAACCAATCCCTACGGGGTAGTTCTTCCCTACAAAGTTAGGCAAGATACTTACCTCAAAAGCCCTCAATCAATACTCTAAAATAGCTTTTTCTTTACGATTCACTTCCGCTCGGCTCAAATCTAACCAAAATCGACTTAATAATATCAAATAATACAAAGAGAAATCAATTCCATTAAATAAAGCTATGATCTTTGCAAAATTATTCAAAAGACAACAAAAGTCAACTTTTGGTTTGTCCGGTCAAAACTCGCGTCCAAGAGAAGATTCCAACTACCCATAACCCCCACGAGTCTCATGTGTTTTGTTTCAAAATCCGAGTCCAAATCGACTCTCAAAAATCAAATTCACATTTTTCAAAATAGAGATAAAGTTTCTCAAAATTTCACTTTGATTCGCATAAGTTTGATGTTAAAACTCATATATAATCATGTAAAATAGTTGGAAATTGGTCGAAATCACTTACCCGATAATTTAGATGAAAATCCCTCTTCAAAATCGCCTCTTACCGAGTCTAGATTTCAAAAATATAAAAATGAGACCAAAATCCCGTCCTTCAGCTTATATGTCCAGTCAAAGGTGTCGCAAATGCGAGGAAATGATCGCAAAAGCAAAGACCCTCACATCCCTGATGTCATCGCAAATGCAATGATTTATTCGCAAATGCGAACTTTGGATATGTCGCAAAAGCGACCTTTTGGTTGCAAAAGCGATCCCTCCCCAACCTAGGCCAATATCAGAAATGCGATTGGGAGTTTGCAAATGCGGACTCTTCATGCCACAGTGCACATCGCAAAAGCGAAGAAAATCTCGCAAATGCGATAGCCGCAAATGAGACATATTTCTCGCAAATACGAGATCAGAACACCAGCAAAATCTGAACCTTCCATGAACTCTCCGAAAAGCATCTGAAACCCACCAAATGTCCTCGGGGCTCCATACCAAACATCAACACAAGCCTAAAATCATAACACGGACTCGCTCTCGCAATTAAATCATCAAAATAACATATGAAACCATGAAGCGGACCTCCAAAACACATGGAATTCAAACAAAACTCAAGATTTTCTAAAAACACAACCGTGCGTCCGATTCCTGTCAAATAAATTCGGAATGACGCCAAACTTAGCAAACAAGTTCCAAATAACAAATGGACATATTTCAAGTACTGAAACAGAAATCCAAATACGATAGTCATGAAGTCAACACACGATCAAACATATCAAAATTCTAAGACTTTAAATTGCCAACTTTCGGCCAAAACAAATCAAATCAACCTACAGACCTTCCAATTCGATTCCGGGCATATGCCTAAGTCCAAAATCACGATACGAACTTATCAGAGTCATCTAAGTAGCGTTCTAGAGTGATTTTCACATAAGTCAAACCTCGGTCAATATTTTCAACTTAAAGCTCTAAAGTGAGAATTACTCATTCAAATTCATCCCGAGGCATCTAAAAATCAAATCCAACCATGCACACAAGTCATAATACACAATATGAAGCCATTCGAGATCTCGAACCACATAACGGAACTTTAAGGCTCAAAAATGACCAGTCAGGTCATTACAAGTATTGTCTTTTAACAAATTCATTATTCCTCAGATAAAACAAATACAGACTTAGGTTTAATCGGACTATACATGCACAAGAGAAACACATTAGTTTTTCTAAAATTAGGGTTTGAAATAGTATAAAATACCTATACTTTGGGAGAAATCAAAAGCGAAAAAGAAGAGAGTGAGAGAGAGGGGGAGAGGGGGGAAGGTCAACTTACCTGAGAATGGAGTGAAGTGAAGAACTTGTTGACATAGTGGAGGGTCAAGGAGAAAACACGATGTGAATAGGAGAGACTGAGAGAAAACAAAAAGGTTCTGTGAATAATAATAAAACTTTCCTACTACTTCCCTAGGAAAGCTCTATGAGAAAACTTTTTTCATAATACACCGTTTATAAGAAATAATTATTTTTAATAACTTTTCCCATAAAATTGGAGGGAACTAAGTTACGCGCATTCTTGCGCCAAAACATTCTAACAGATAGTCAATGGGAAATGTCATTATTTTTCCTGAAAAAGAAATTTCAATTTTTTCATTAGATTTTGGTGGGAATTACCACTAACAATTTTTTCGTGGGAAAATATTATATTTCTAACAGTCAAAGATTGAATTAGAGAAGAATGAAGAAACTTTGGTTATGCAAAGATGTGCGAAGAAGACAACACAAAAATAAGCTATCAGTGGAAAGCTGCGAAGAGGAGGCTAAACAATTTGGCCAAGATATTTTAATTCCAAAGGAGGAACCAACATAAATTAGACAAATTGACACATTCGTGAAAAGTTATATAATTTTTATTTAAAATTAAACTTGTAATTTGTTTAAAACACAAAGTTCCCAATTAGAAAATTATATTAATTATAAAGTTTAAATTCTACTGATAAAATTATAGACTTTTAGCTGTGGAATTATTTCTTATACTCTTGTCTTGTTCAAATATTAAGTTTTATTTCAAACTTATAAAAAAAATTCTTACTCGGTCCCATTATATCCCCTCCTGATACGATTCGACCCAGTTAACAACACAATATTGGACTAAACAGGACACTCCCTCCATCTCTCTAATCTCGGTCTAACCGTCTCGTCCCATGAGAACCTCCATATTTCCCTCATCTCATCATGTCATGTTCTCTCTTTCATTGTTCCACCCCTTTAATATCCTTAGGACCATGTGGCATGATAAGAAAATATGAGAGTAAGGAGTCAAATAGGTATATAGGATAATTATTTCAATGGGTGCTATTGTAAATTAAAACAAATGGATATTGATTTATAAATAGTTTGGGTTAAATAAATATTTGTGAATTTTTTTTAATATTATTCTCTAGTCAAAATATAATTAATAAAAATATTGGGCCAAATCCTTGCATGAGTTATGACTTAAAACATAAATATAGGTGCATAAGGGTGAATGACGGAAATAGGACACTTCAATGCCACTAATAATTTTTTGACCCTAATAATTAAACTCTTAGAAAAATAACCTTGGTTAGGTTTAATAAATATTAGTTCCACAAAAATACCCTTACACCTTAAAAGTATCAATACGAGAACTGAATAGCAAAAGATAGAAGACGAAGGAGAAGAGGAACATCGAAGATAGAGGATTTCAAATATGAGTTCTACAAATTGAAGTTGTTTAAACATTAATGTGAGAAAATTTTATTAAAAATTCATAATTCATCATTATTGGGATTGAAGCTTTCGAATAGATATTTGAGTTTTTGAAATTTGATCCAAAATTACCATTATGATTTGTTAGGATTGTGATTAAGTATTTGTGGTTAAAATTTTAGTACATTTAATGAAGAATTGAAGAAGATAGATCAAAGTTATTAGCAAAAAATATGATAAACTTTGACAAATATTATTTCTCTGTTCGTCGAATATTGTTGGTCCACAAATTATGCCGCAAAGGCAACACGTTATACTAACTTGTTGGTCCACAAATTATGCCTTGTAAACAAAATTTAGCTCTAGGACTTTAATACCATCACTTATGCCACATGTGAGTTTTTAAAAATAGATTCTGATTGAAATTCTGTAGAGCTTCTGAGCGAATTAGAAAGAGAAAACAAAACAAAAAAAGTTGAAAGTTTGTCGCTCTAAAATATATTAAAGGGTACATGTCATGACCCCAATTTCCCTCCACAGGATGTCGTGATGACACTTAGTCACTAAGACTAGGTAAGCCTAACACTTACAGAATTAAAGACAGAAATTAACCAGAAATAACTATTAAGCATGGAACTGAAATTTCTATAGTAAACCAATAACCCCGAGAGCATTACAATATCCAAAACCGGTAGTACAAGTCATAAACTCTACTGAAACTAGAAAAATATTCTAAGTATAATTGTTTCAAAAAAGAAATAGACAGTATAAGTACAAGATTAGAAGGTGACTCTGAGGCCTGCGAACGCGACGGCAGGTATACCTTGAGTCTCTGCAGCAAAGCTCGAACCGCTAACTAGGTATCAACCAACTCCGAGGTACCTGGATCTGCACAAATTTATACAGAAAGGCGTAGCATGATTACACCATAGTGGTACCCAATAAGTATCAAGACTAACCTCGGTGAAATAGTGACAAGGGACAGTCAAGACACCTACTACACTAAATAACATGTACAAGTATAAATGTGAAACTAGCAGGAAAACAATATCAATATAAAACTAAGCATGGTCAAGACAACAAAACAATACTCGCAATAAAATACTAGAAATAACGATTAGCAACAGGGACAAACAGGTAATAACTCAATAAGAGCAACCGCTTTCACACAAGATTTGCTCAAGGATTTCCCCGAGATACTTCACCTCATAGTCGCACTTCACGGGTCCCAATTCATGAACCCTAAAAATTTGGCATCTCGTGCCCACATTACAAATTCATAACAGCACGAACGACTCATGTGCCAACAATAATAATGACTCATGACCGTACGGAGAACTCACGTACCAACAATAACAATGACTCATTACCGCACAGACAACTCACGTGCCAATAAAATAACTCTTACACAGAAAGCAAGTAAACGAGAGTACATGTAAATGGTCAATAACATCAGAATTCATCTTCTTAAATCGGTATAGGTGATTAATTACGTGTATGCTTGTGCAAGTGTTCTATCACAACTCAAGTCAACAAGAAAGAGTAGAGACAATGGTACATAGGAAACAATCATCACAAAATATACAATGTATAACTCACACAAGGTAGGCACACCACTACACAAATATCATCAATAACACTACCCCCAGGCTATCACAAGTCATCACAAATCATTCTCGACATAGCCACTTTGTCTCGCAACGTGCGCAACAATAAAGTAAATGCTTACCTTGTCTAGCCACACGCGCATAATAATATTCCCACCTTGTTTCGCCACATGCACAAACCTATACACACACACACATACATATATAGAGAGAGAAAGAGAGAGCTCGCCTTGTCACGTCACATGTGCAATATCAGTAATAACAATAGCACGGACAACTCACGTGTGAACACCCCGACAAGCCTCTTAACTATACCATGTATGCCAAAATATAGAAACACAATATAGTTACCTTCACCACATGTGCCCATATGCACAATATTTCTTCATAACAATCCCAATACTAATCACGCATAGCCCTCGCATCAACAATACTGAGTACAACAATAGAACCAGCAATACACGATAGTACGATAAGTAAATCAACATAAGAACTCCAGAACACAAGAAACGGAAGAATGAGCTCACAATGAAAGACACCACAGGTAATAATGATTTCAACAAGAATAGCTTAACAAGGGGAGAGATAATGTGTAACAACGGTTCCTCATAAGTAAAACTCGACGATAAGAGAGATAGAATGAATCACATATTCCAAATACAGATAAGTCAACAATGAAAGGGATAACAAAACTTCAACTAAGGTTAAGCAATCACGGAAAGGACAACCATCAATAACTTCAATTAAGTTTAAGCAATTACGGAAAGCAAAGCATGGCAATAAAAGAGGCGACAACTTCAATTAAGGCACATAAGAGTTTATTGGCAACAAAGGTAGAACATGAATCGATACTTACCTCAAAAAGCTAGATTGATACTTTAAAATGACCTTCTCATGTGAAACAACCTCCAGACGGCTCAAATCTAGCTAAAAAGGTCATCTCATGAATAAAAACCATAGGAAATAAATCCGGATAATAAAGTTTCAATCCTTAAAAAGTCAACCAAGGGCCTGCATCTCGGAACCCTAATAAAATTTATAAAATCTGAATACTCATTCCAATACGAGTCCAACAATATCAAAATTATCCAACTCCGATATTAATTCGTCCTCTAAATCATCATTTTATATTTTTGAAACTTTTCAAAAAATTCCCATTTTCCCCTGACTCAAACCACTAATTTAATGATAAAAAATGATAACATTATGAAATAAAATCAAATTCGGGTAAAGATCACTTACCCCAATCCAACACGTGAAGAACCCCTAAAAATTGCTTAAATTCGAGGTCTACAACTTAAGATATGATAAAAATGGTCAAATCCTCAAAATAGAGTACTTTTATTTTCTACCCAGATATAACACATCGCGATCGCGGAACATTCCTTGTGATCGCGAAGAACAAAAATGAAGGCTGCCAAAAATAACCTTACACGAAAACACAGCGACCTCTGCTTACGCGATCGCGAACCCATTGATGCGTACGCGAAGAACAATTCCTAATGCCCCTTCCAGCTCTATCTCTACGCGAACATAAAAGACACATCGCGAACGCAGACCACAGCCAACTAGACCTTAGCGATCGCGTGCACACATCTGTAATCGCGATGGACAAAAACACTAAGCTCCCAGGATCACTTCGCGATCGCAAAGAGAAACAGTCACACCAGAAACCAACAACTCTAAAGCATTAAGAAATGGCCTGTAACCCATCCGAAACATACCCGAGACCCCCGGGACCCCGTCGAAACAAACAAACAAGTTTTACAACATAACATGGACCTGCTCAATGCCTCAAATCACATCAAACAATATCAAAACTAGTAATCACACTACAAATCGAACTTAATAAACTTATGCACTATCAAATTCTACAACTCGCGCCGAAACATATCAAATTAACCCGGAATGACGTCAAGTTTTACATGCAAGTTCTAAATAACACAACGGAGCTATACTAGCTCCCCAAATTGAAATCCAAACCCGATATCAACAAAGTCAACTCCCGGTCAAACTTCTCAACCTTTCAAACCTTCAACATTTCAATTTTCTCCAAAATGCATCAAATTACCCTACGGACTAACAAATCCAAATCCGGACACACGCCTAAATCTAAAATCACCATATGATTCTATTGGAATCATCAAAATATCATTCCAGAGTCGTCTAAACGAAAGTCAAACTTCGATCAAATCTTACCGCTTAAGCTTCTAAAGCAAGAATCCTTCTTCCAAATCAATCTCGATCATCCAAAATCCAAACTCGACCGTACACGCAAGCCATAATACACAATACAGAGCTAATCGAGACCTTAAGCCACCGAACGGGACACAAAGTCTCAAAATGACGGATTGGGTTGTTATATCCTCCCCCTCTTAAACAAACGTTCATCCTCGAACGTGCCAAAAATCGTTCTGCATTCATCAAATCATTAAATGTATTCACCATACATATGCTCGTGGGTGATCCCACGTCACCTCAAACCACATAGGCCCGATGACACCATCCCAACCAAAAATTATTTTTTCCACCCATACTAATAACCTTAGAACCAATTTCTCACCATCCGATTTTTTCCAACAGACCTGATTCCCACATCCACACATGGTATCAGCCTCAACCAGCTGCAACCATCATGCCTACACCCATACGGCCCAACCACACGACGTAACACATCACACATTGTCACACCTCCTTTTTACCACCCGAGGGTATATAGGAGTTTTTCCAATTAAAGTGACATAAATCGAAATGGGATTAATTAATTTATCAGAGTCGCCACTTGGAATAGTTTATTTGGTATCCCAATTCACCGGTTTATTTTAAAATTCCAAATCGAGGAAATTTCGACTTTATTTAAAAGTCTGCGAAATCAGAAATTCTAGATAAGGAATTCTGTTAACCCGGGAGAAGGTGTTAGGCATTCCCGAATTTCGTGGTTCTAGCACGATCGCTTAAACTATTAATAATTGGCATATTATCTGATTAACTACAAGTTTTAAACCTATTGTACATTTTTAACTTTATAATCGCTTTTGATTATTTTTATGGAATTATTCTGGAACAAGTTACGATTGTCGTACACTTGTTTGTTTGATACACATCGTGAATCATGTCACGGGAACCGTACTCATGATCTAACATGTTTAATTTATTAAAATTATTAGAAGTTGTGGTCGTGTCACATAAATGTACCCCCGGATTTGAAAATTAAGTATCACAACTACGTCACAGGAACCGTACCCATATCTATGATGATTTTATTATAAACGCGCCTAAAGCAAGCTATGAATGTTTTAAAAAAATTTGATACTAAGTTATAATACTAATATGAGGGCCATAGATTTAAGTGATTCGATTGTGAATGGCACACCTCGATTTATTTTAAAGGATTTGCATTTCACTAAAGTAAACTAAGGATGCTCCTATTTAAATCTAATTTGAAATTAGGTATCACAACTACGTCACGAGAACCGTACCCGTAGCTATGAAGATTTTATTATAAACGCGCCTAAAGCAAGCTACGAATGTTTTAAAAAAATTTGATACTAAGTTATAATACTAATATGAGGGCCATAGATTTAAGTGATTCGATTGTGAATGGCACACCTCGATTTATTTTAAAGGATTTGCATTTCACTAAAGTAAACTAAGGATGCTCCTATTTAAATCTAATTTGAAATTAGGTATCACAACTACGTCACGAGAACCGTACCCGTAGCTATGAAGATTTTATTATAAACGCGCCTAAAGCAAGCTACGAATGTTTTAAAAAAATTTGATACTAAGTTATAATACTAATATGAGGGCCATAGATTTAAGTGATTCGATTGTGAATGGCACACCTCGATTTATTTTAAAGGATTTGCATTTCACTGAAGTAAACTAAGGATACTCCTATTTAAATCTAATTTGAAATTAGGTATCACAACTACGCCACGGAAAGCGTACCTATAGTTGTAATGATTTAATTGCGTGCCTAAAACAAACTACGGTGTTCATAATTATTTCTAAAACTAATTTAAGAATATTGCAAGGTCATATGAATTATGGAGAACCATTATGGATAGAGGACGAATTACACTTTCACCTCCTGGTCTGATTAACAAATTTCCAAATATCTAGTTAAGTCTATTTACTACTTCTCTTATTACCAATGTTATAGAGACGTAGATTATAGCATGACAGGGGAAAACAAGCAATTATTCACTTTAAATTGATCTCACGAGTCCTTTAGCAAACGCCTAATATTAAAAACTAAAAAAAAAAAACTAAAATTATGAACAACTAAGAGAAAATAACGAAATTTCAAAGTTAACAATTTCCTACATATTTTCCAAAGTATCAATCTTTTTTATATACTAAGGTTCTAAAGTGACAATTTTTAAATAGCTTAATTTCGAAGATTTCTCAGTCTATCATTCTATAGTCCTTATAGAGTAAGATTATAAGCATCAGCATTAAAAATTTACCAGTCTTATCCAGAAAAGAATTATGTAAAAAAAAAATTAATTAGAGAGTTCAAGTGAGAGCAGTAAATCACCTTGGCAGAACCCATATCATTTCTCTTTGCAGCTTCTTTAATTGCTTTCGGCACATTCTTCTCCTCTCTTTGTATATCTCGGATTTGACGTTCAATATTCCGACATTCTTGTCGGAGCCTACGTTGCCAATCCCTTAAAAGTTGTTGAGGGTTCGGTTTTGACTGAGCTTTGGCCGATGAAACTTAGGAGCTTCAACAAACTTTGGTAAAATCCTCAAAGCAAGCAATATGTCACTATTTGAGCAAAGAAGATGTTCATACAGCGGCTAAACTGAAGATAGCAGCAACTGAAACCAAATAAATGCTTTTATATAGGAAAATTTCTGTATTACAAAGCTGGAATTTTGACGAGAAAACTCAACCAAGCTAAACCAGCAATAAGGGACTCGTCGGCAACCTCAACTGCGTAGGAGCTCAGCAAAACGCAAATTCAATTTCTATTTGCCTATGATGAACTGGAATGAACCAAAGCGAGGCTAAGAAATCAAAATTCCAGTTCGAGACAGCAACAATCAGCAGCGAACAACCATGGATTCGGCCTTCAACAATATTTACGGATCCAGGAAGAGGAATCTCCTTCGAAATCCTTTTCAGATCTTCATTTTTTTAATTTTTTTTTTTTTTTTGCTTATGTTTCGGCTATATGAAGAAAACTTCAGATGTGAGATGCGTGATTTTTGTGAAGGGAGATGTAAAACCAAAGAGGAGGGTAGGCTGGTAGGAAATTTTTGGCGTGAGGTTTTGGAGAAAAATGGAGGAAGGGGAAGGGAGTTCTTCTGCTCCAAACAGGCGTCGTTTTTTCTAACTTGGGGTCTCCTCTTCTAATGTGATTAGGTCTAGGTCTTTCAATTAAAAGGGTAGGGGTTTGGGGTAACGCGGGTCGGGTCTGGTTTTTTGGGATGGGTAAAAATATTTGGGCCTAATTTGGGTACAAGAATTAGTCCAATATCCAATTAAACTTTTTCTTTAATTTCTTTTTTTTCTTATTTCCTTTTCTTTTTAATCTTTTTTTTTAATTGAGAAAAAAAACTAAATCAAATTCCTAAATTAGTCTAAATTGTAAAATTAAGATAATTATCTAATTATAATATATTTAACAATTATTTGATCCTAAATTAAAAGAGAAAAATCACTAATCTAAAGATTAAACGATAAAATGTAAAAATGAGTTATTTTTATGATTTTCATTTTTAATAAAGCAATTAATTAAATAATCAATACTAAAAATATAAAACAAAAATCTAAATGCAATGCATGGTGTTTTTGAGATTTCTTCTTTTGATCATCTCAAACCTTGTGCCTCACGGTGAAAACTTGTTCAGACACCAAAGCAAACAAACGAACGAAATTTTTCTGCCTTAGTTTTCACTAGGAAAATTTCGTGAGTTATTAAAACAAAATCTAAACTATTTCTTTATTGAAAGCAATAAAATCGAGATTTTGTATCCTTGAGAAAAAGAGATTAGGGAGTGGAGCCATATATGTATAATGAAATCAACCAGGGAGTGGAGACCCTATGTTGGAAAAGAAACTAGGGAGTGAAGACCCTATGTTGGAAAAGTGACTAGGGAGTGGAGACTCTATGTCTAAAATAAATTCAACTAGGGAGTGGAGACCCTATGTTGGAAAAGTGACTAGGGAGTAGAGACCTTATATTGGAAAGTGACTAGGGAGTGGAGACCCTACATCTAAAATAACTTCAACTAGGGAGTGGAGACCTTATGTTGGAAAAGCGACTAGGGAGTGGAGACCCTATGTCTAAAATAACTTCAACTAGGGAGTGGAGACCCTATGTTGGAAAAGCAGACTAGGGAGTGGAGACCGTATGCCTAAAATAACTTCAAGCAGGGAGTGGAGACCCTATGTTGGAAAAGCAGACTAGGAAGTGGAGAACTTATGCCTAAAATAAAATTAACTAGGGAGTGGAGACCCTATGTTGGAAAAG